TGGACAATTTTTGCACAATTTCTGCTACAAATTGAGGTCCCCTATCTGAGAACATTCCCAATGGAATTTCAAATCGCAGTATTACTTCTTTTAACAATACTTTAGTAACTTCCCTTGCTTTGTTGGTACAACAGGGAAAAGCTCAGGCCATCTAGAAAACACATCGACTAAAACGAATAGATATCAATATCCTTCTTGTCAAGGCAACTCAGAAAAATCTATTTACCAGTAGTCTCCAGGACCGTTTCCTCTCTCTGTAGTCCCTAAAGGAGGGCTTTGGTAGGACTGTGGATTGTTTTGCAAACGTTATTTTACACTTACTGACTACACTTTTGATGACTCCAGCCATTTTTTACGTTGATTGCTTGATGCTTCAAGTTATTTATAATAGCTTCTGCCCCCCAGTGTGCTTCTCTGTTGGAGTATAGAGATTGTATGTGAACAATTTCTATTGCATTTCTGTGAGCATTGCCTTGGCATAATTGGGTGTGGACAGTAAAACTAACTGCGTAGTTAAATATGGCTACAGGAGCTGAAGTTAGAACAAAAAAGGCTTTTTGCCAAGGTCAAGGAGGAGTTTTTGGCAGGTGAACAAGTTTTCTCATCTCCTATGGCCACCTGCTGTGATCCAATTAACACCATACAACAAAGTATGTTTTCCTTATGTATCCAATGCTCTGTGTACAAGAAACACATCTGAGTGTCATAAGCAGTATAAAAGGTGTCTTTCTTCTAATAAAGCTGACATTTTGCCGACCATACTGGTCTGTGAGTGATCTGTCTGTACCTCTTCATCAATACTTCTCTGTGTTTATCATCTGCTACTTGTCTCATCACTGCTTGAGGTACTATGACTTGTTCTTCTGCTGTTACCCACCATCCTTCAGAATTTAGATGGTCTTCCAAAATTTCAGCTAACTTTTCATCTTGAGCTTGGTACTCTGGGGTTACATTTGAAAAGTTCATGCATTTTGATGGAGGAACTATTAGGATGCTTTTGTCTGCCATGTCTCTAGAAGTTCTATCTACTAGTCAATTTCCTACATTAGTTGGTGTATTTTCAAATTGATGAGCTTTACAATGCATGAAAGCCACTTCAGTTGGTAACTGAATATTTTCTAGTAATTTCCTAATAACATCTCCAAATTTGACAGGGGATCCTTGTGCTGAAAGGAGCCCTTTCTTTCTAGATAGCTCCATACTCCCAATGCATATTTAGAATCAGTCCATATGTTGACATTCTTACCTGCAGACAATTCTAGGGCTCACTGCAGAGCGATGAGCTCAGTTTTTGTGCAGAGATGTTAATAGGTAACAAGTTATCTTCAGTTATTTCTGTTTGGGTCACCATTGCATACACAGATTTCTGCTTTCCTTTGCACACAAAACTGCTCCAATCTGTGAATAGTTCCCAGTCTGGATCTTCTACTGAAGTATCCCTTAAATCTTGTCTGCTGGAGTAAACCTGCTTGATAGTTAGAAGACAGTCATTTTGTAAGTCTTCTTAGCATTCTGGTACAGATTCAAGGAATATAGCTGGGCAGTAGTAATTTTCAGTTCTACATCATCCTGTTCCAACAGGATGACTTGATATTTATGCATCTTATTTGGAGATAACCAGTGACCCCTCCTTTTTTTTCTAGAACAGAGATAACCATGTGGAACATAAACAGCAATTTTCTGGCCCATGGTCAATTGCTGGTCTTCTTGTATTAAAAGGACAGTTGCTGCTACAACTCATAGGCAGTTATAAGTCCCTTATTTACATTGTCCAGTTCTTTGGAAAAATATCCCATGGCCCTTTTCCATGCCCCCAGCCTATGAGCTAGCACACCTAATGCAAGGTGTAAGTGTTCATGTACAAACAGTTCAAAAGGTTTGGTCAAATCAGGTAATTCCAACACAGAGGCTGATATTAGAACTGTACTTAAGTTTCTGAAACCCATTTGGTATTCTGAACTCCACTGTAGTATCTCCTTAGAGTTTCTCAGGGCCTCATATAAAGGTCTTACCAACAGTCCATATTAGGAATCCATAGCTGACACCAACCCACTATTCCTAGAAATGTTCTTAACTCACATACAGATCATGGCTACAGAGTTTGGCAAATTCATAGAATCATAGAATCAACTGGGTTGGAACAGACCCCCGAGATCATCAAGTCCAACCCTTGATCCAACACCACCGTGGTTACTAGACCATGGCACTAAGTGCCACATCTGGTCTCATCTTAAAAACCTCCAGGGACGGGGAATCCACCACCTCCCTGCGCAGCCCATTCCAGTGTCTGATTACATTGTCTATAAAGAATTTCTTCCTAATATCTAACCTAAACTTCCCCTGGCACAGCTTAAGATCATGCCTTCTTGTCCTACGTCTGGTTGCCTGGGAGAAGAGACCAATCCCCACCTGGCTACAGCCTCCTTTCAGGGAGTTGTAGAGAGTGATGAGGTCTCCCCTGAGCCTCCTCTTCTCCAGGCTGAACAGACCCAGCTCCTTCAGCCTCTCCTCATAGGACTTGTGCTCGAGTCCCTTCACCAGCCTCATTGCTCTTCTCTGGACCTGCTCCAACACCTCAATGTCCTTCCTGAACTGAGGGGCCCAGAACTGGACACAGTACTCCAGGTGTGGCCTCACCAGCGCTGAGTCCAGGGGAAGAATCACTTCCTTGGACCTGCTGGCCACACTGTTCCTTATCCAGGCCAGGATGCCATTGGCCTTCTTGGCCACCTGGGCACACTGCTGGCTCATGTTCAGCTTCCCGTCAATCCAAACTCCCATATACCTCTCTGTCTGGCTGCTCTCCAGCCACTCTGTCCCAGCCTGTAGCGCTGCAGGGGGTTGTTGTGACCAAAGTGCAGGACCCGGCACTTGGCCTTGTTGAACCTCATCCCGTTGGATTCAGACCATCTCTCCAGCTTGTCTGAAGAGCCCTCCTGCCCTCCAGCAGATCAACACTCCCTGCCAACCTGGACAATCTGCAAATTTGCTAATGGTATGCTCAATCCCCTCATCTAAATCATCAATAAAGATATTAAACAGGACTGGGCCCAACACTGATCCCTGGGGGACACCACTAGTGACTGGTGCCAACTGGATGCAGCACTGTTCACCACCACTCTCTGGGCCCGGCCCTCCAGCCAGTTCCTAACTCAGCACAGAGGGCTCCTGTCCAAGCTGTGGGCTGCCAGCTTTTTCAGGAGTATGCTAGAAAAGCTCCTTCCTTTTTGTTCTGAGGCTTTGCTGTACCCAGGAAATGGTGAATCCCAGATATGTCACATGCTTTTTGGCAATCTGGACCTTCTTGCTGGTTACCCTGTAACCAGCTTATCCCAAAAAGTTTAGTAAACTTACAGTTGTTTTAATGCATCCAGTTTGAGTTTCTGTTGCAATTAAAATATCATCTAATATCGCAGCAAAGTGATTTCTTCAGTCCCCTTTTTCCATATTTCCAATTCATTTGCCAATTGGTTCCCAAACAAAGTGGAGCTATTTTTAACCATTTTGGGAGAACAGTTCACAGTAATTGGGTTTTACAGGCCATTGGGCTTTCCTATTCAAAGGCAAACAATGGCTGACTTACAGTTTCAAGCGGTATGCAGAAGAAAGCATCCATAAGATCCAAAACACTGAACTGCTCATCAGATCCTTTAATTGTGTTAAAAGTTCATAAGGATTTGCTACTACCGGGTATATGTCTTGCACTGTTTTATTAATAGCTCTGAGATCTTGCACTAGCTAGTATTCATTGGTATGTGGCTTCTTTAGCAGTAGGACAGGAGAATTATATTCTGTCTCACGTTCCCTTAATAATCCATGTTGCAAAAATTTAGCAATTAATTCTTCTAACCCTTGCCTAGTGTCTAACTTCAAAGGATATTGTTTCTGCCTTACTGGTCTGGCAGCAGGTTTCAACTGTATTCTTACTGGTTCTACTGCTTTCGATTTCCCTGAAATTCCAGTATCCCACACCAACGAAGTGACAGCGTTTTCCACCTCTGGGACATTGCTGCTGCACTGGTAACTAACTGGCTAGGGAGAATTTTAAATGCATTTGGGTTTTCCATGTCAGGGTGGCTACCTAGCCTCTTTCAGACTTTGATAATGGTTATAATTGTGATTATTGTAATTTGGATCACTGTCCATTGCATTAAGATCATTATAATGAAATCAGTCTCCACAGTAAAATATACTCCCTTAAACCCCACCTGTGACACTGACATGCTCCCAAAACTGACCTATATAATTGACATTCCCCATCTGCCTCCTGTCAATGTTAGATACCCTCATAGAATGCTAAGATGTCCCTGTTTGTCCATTGCTACTGTTAATTGTTCCTATGATGTTGGTTACTACTGCATGCTTATTTATTCTCATCGTTGACTGATTGTTCATTGCTAATGGTACTTGAAGAATGATAATCCACAGTAGGCATTGCAACTCAATAATATTATGTGTCCTATTAACTTTGAAGGCAAGAGGTGTCCACACTATCACTCCAAAGACACTGGTTGGATCATGATGGTGGTGCTGGGGTAGAGTATGGCAGAAGCACCCAGTATCCCCACTTTCAGCGTTGTCATTGGTGTTGATGCCCTGCTGAGGAAGGAAAGGCCTTCTGGGTTGTGCTTTTTTGCGCTACAAATGAGGTGACTTTGATGTGGTATGTTTTGTCTCCCTGTCTATTTGGGCTGTATTACAAGAGGCCTGTGGGGAGGTTGCCGTCTGACCCACTGGGACAAGCATGAGAACCTTGGAGGATGAAGACATAGGGGTTTGAGAAAAGATCTGACAGAGAATCCAGGTAAAGAACACGTCTGGAGCCATCCTCAAGGCAACACATGCCCATAGTTCAGACATCTTCTGTATGAACGTGATCTCTCCATCAATAAACATATGTTCACGGCAACTGCCTACCACAATAGGCACTGCCGATTGTCGGCACACGTCACAGAGCCCTCTGTGAGCCACTGCCTTTGTGACCTGTCTCTGGCATTGACACAGCCACCCCACATAACGCTGGCAGACAAAACAAGACAGGATAGGACAAAGGGGTGCTGCAAGGAGCCTCTGTACAACCACTTCATGCTTTTCTGATGCAAAATTCAGTGGGATGGCGGAAAAATTGCCCAGTATGCCCTGGCTGGCCTGGGTTGGGGGGGGAGGGGAGGAGGAGGAGGAGGAGAAAGGCCGAGGGGCTGCCCAAGCACAACAGCCTGAAGAAGTGGAAACAGTCCAGCCACTGCAGAAAGGTAAGTGGCTGAGCTGGGCCATAGGGCTAGGGCTGCAGCCCAATCCTATCCCCTGTGGACATCCCCAGGGAGCAAGGGGAAGTGGGAATGGAGCTGATTCCCCCAGCATCCATCTCCATCCACCAGGCACCCTCAGCCCCAAGCTGCTGCCAGAAGAGACAGGGGTTGGTGCCCCCACTATTCCCTGTCCCAGGACTGGGGAGTGGAAGGCTTGACTGTGTTCTCCAGCCTCTCCTGCAGTCCCTGAGCCCTGACTGTTCTTGGGTTTTGCCAGATCCACTTGGGGAACTGCCAGAGGAGGAGCACACCCATGGACTCTTCTACAGAGCCACACAGGTATCCACAGACTTCCATGCCTGGGATGGGGCTGCTGTTTCTGCTTAGTGGATGACAGCTGTCAGAGCACTGGAGGTGACATCCTTCTCTTCCCTGCCCTTAGATGTTTTCAGACTTCCATAAGACCACTGATCATGAAGACAAGACCACCATGGTCCTTGAGGGCATGGCAACCTCCAGCTCCTGCAAAGCAGAGGATTGTGCTGCCACAGTGGATATTATCATGGGAAGTGGCAGCTCCCATTTGAATAAAGTAAGTAACTTGTGGCCAGGGCTGGAGTCCCCCATGAAACGTGAACCCTCTCAAGCTGGGTCTGCTGGCCATCCAACAGACTTTAAGATCAGCAAAATATGGTAGAAAAGGAAGCATTTCTCATGGGAAGCTGTTGAAATGCCTCACTCTATCAACACTCCAGTTCTCTGCTGTGTCTCCTCCAGGTGCCAACCATTGTGAGGGACATTCACCAACAGCTTATGAAGACCACATATATGTCTCAGGAAGATAGGCTGAAGAAGACCCTTCAGGAGATGACAGTTGCACAGCCCCATGATGTGGTGGTGACCCTTCTGCACTGCGCCCCATCGTGTGACAGGTACGGAGCCCACCTTCTCTGAGGGCTCAGGACTCACAAGCCATTAGAGCCCACCAGCCTACAGAACCAATCTCATGTGGGCTGCCAGACAGATAGAGATTTTCAGGTGCCTCTGACCCCTCTGTGTGCCAGCTGTGCTATGCCAGCCACAGAGCCCATTGCCACACTCCCTTTGTGTCCCTCAATGCACCATTACTTGTCTACCTGCTACCTGCAGAGGCAGGCTCACTGAGTGCTGCTGGTGAGGGGCAGTGGACAGAAGCAGGGCTGGTGGCCAGCCAGGGGCTCTATGGCTGCCCAGGCCATGGTGTTGTGGCCAAGACCCCGCTGACACAGAATTCTGGGCCTGCAGAGCTGCTGTGACCATGTGGAAGGCAATCGTCTCCTCAAGTAGAGCTGCGGAGAAGGTGCTGCCGGAGCTGCTGTGCGTGCTGGAGGACTGGCCGCTGCACAGCACATCCACCTCTGACAAGGACTACTCAGACATCTTCTCCCTGGCTGTGAGTTGCTGGACTAGACCGTAGCACATCCTCAGGGGCTACCTCTCTGGCATCTCTCTATCCTTCCTCCTGCACCAGTGATCTCCCCACCTCATGTGATGGGCTGGAAATCTTGGTTAAGGGCAGATTCAGAGGCAGCCATGTCAGATGCTCCCCCTGCATCTCCCCTGGACCAGGGCAATGCCTGAACCTCACCCTCCCACACTTGGGCCCTGCCATGGGGATGTCTCAGTGCTGAGTGCAGTCTCTGGGTGTTTTGTTCTTTTGCAGGCAACTATAGCACTGTGGGAGATCACCCATCTGCCCCACCATCCAGAGGCACTGATGATGTACTCCCCCCGCCTCTTTGTGGCTCTGCTATTCCAAATCTTCTCCAGCACAGTGCAGATGCCAGTAGAAGTCAATACCTTCTGGAGGAGATGCCAGCAGGAGCACTGCCTTCCCACCAACCCCA